TAAATTGAATTAGACAAGATTTACATAACAACATTTTGCAGTATTCTGAAATAACGAGCTTCACCAACGAAAGCTGGGAGATGGTGATCATAGTCGTCACTCACTCTGCGAGGACCACGATTGCGGTGCTGACGCGCACAAGGAGGGTAATAACAGATGTGTCTTTCAATAAAGGAAACATCGTCTGCACGGGATAAGTCCACAGATTAATCTGCCAATGAAGATCGGATTAGATCGACTTAAAAACCACCAGCCATTGAACAAATCTTTAATCGACAAAGTTTCCTTAACTGAACCTCAAAATAAACATCAGCAGAGACATCGATGGAGACTTCTAGCACCTCATCGATACCATCAAAACTTCTATACGGTCATCCACCCGGGCCACGATGTTTACGAGGAAACAACGCACAAGCGCTGCAACGACTCAGCTACTGGCCAGAAGAACGCAATGAAGGTTGATGGACAACTGGACGATGTGTACACTGCATTATGCCAAGAAAAAACAATGACGACTACTACGAGAACAATGTTAAAAGAAGTCACATTAAAGAAGAACAACCCGAAAGGCCGCGGAAACGGACACTGTACTAAAAAAAGCGGATTCAGGTAGCACTAAAGTATGAAGAAGGAATAAGAACCATTGATCACTGTCGCATCAAAGCGACCGGTTCGAATTACTACAAAAACTTTTATTCACAGAAGGCTGAGGTATACCGGAAGCTGCCGTGTCGGTGTTGCCCTAAACACCGTTCTCAATGTATCCTGGAATGAATTAGAGTGGGCAATCAAGAATATCAAGAGTAGCAGATGTGCTGGCAGGAACGGCATCTCAAGTCAAAAGGAATGACCCTGTTCAAAGCCAAAAAGAGGCCAGAATCATGGAAGTATTCTAGGTGACGAAACGTGATGGTGAAGACCCCCAGAACTATCGATCCATCACTCTCCTATCACGAAGTCTTTAGCCGAATCATCCTCAATCGTATCTGAAAAGACCTGGAACTGTTAACAAGTAAAAAAAAGTTGGTTCCGAAAAAAATTCCCACCACAGTATCGACTGCAGTGTCAACCCTCGTAGCTGGACCGGATCGAGGTGTTGAATACTGACATCGAAACCGACTTCAAGCTGTTCGAGGAATTTTATGCAAAGCTGCATGACAGGCAGCTCTGAAACTAATCTCTCACCTCTTAGCTGTGAGAACCGAGCAGCATTCAACATAAGGGGGTGCTTGGAAGGGCAAAGTACAAAAGAATGCGTTTTTCCCAGCCGCTGCGGTTGCCACGAAGGCCTGTGATGAATCCTGAAACGGACTGCTAACGAAGCTCTGGTGAAGTTGTTTCAAAACCATCACTCACACTTACTCAACAGATTTTTTCTGATTACAGAAGCTTTACGGAATTTGTCATTTGGACTGGGTTTTATTGGAAACGGAACCGAGACCGAAATCTCAATGGCTATGAGGACGGATCTTAAAATCCTTCAGAACACTGGACTTTCAGTGCTAAAAGTCAGAACACAAACTTCTACACGGTATGTGCGAACGTTAAACAGACCTGCGCAGACACGCTGAATGCAAAAGAACTGCATCGGATGAGACGTAGATATCTGCAATAACCCAATGGCTTTGAACATGCATTGAAACCGCTTGTAATTACAGCTTCTATTGAGCAGGGAATACAACAGAAAGGTGCTGCTCACAGAGGTAGTTTTTTTGGCACCGGAGGGCAGTAGAAATGGAGAAGGAACCCTCACACATTGGAGTGGGGTATCGTGGCAAGACTGTAATCCATGTACAAATGACTTGATAGTTATACCCGTGTCGAAGCTGCGACACCGCCAGTAAAGGAAGAATTCTACGCTACGGTGAGTCTGTTGCTGCAGCACAGCTGAACCCATTATGTTATCACTGTTCTGGATGATTTCAGTGTGAAAACTGGAAGAAAGAATGTCCTATAAGATGGCTGGTATCACACGGCATCGGTGAGATGAACCGAAACGGCGAACGACCAGCAGAATTGTGTGAAATCTACGTTCTACTCGTTGGCGACACATGGTTTCCTCACAAACCAGTGCAGAGAATCACACGGCACTCCCCGATGCATCACCGAGATCCAAGACTAGTCATGTTCTCATCACCAGAAGTTATCGCATGCCTAGAAGATGTCACGGTGTACAGAATAAAAGTCATCAACAAATGGTACTGGAAACTTCATAGATTTCGATTCTTCTTTACCCAAAATAGCGCTCTATTCTCTTCGAAGATATTCCATTTTATTTAACGACATCGTCTATCAAGCAGTAGTTCCAACTGTGCACGGTCTTAAACCTTCCACTTTTCACTGCATGATCAAACTTCAGATGAGAAACAGTAATGCCCCATTGTTGAATGAGAAGTTGTTACTAAAGTCAGTTACAAAAATAACTTAATTCTCATATCTGATGTTCAGGTTGATGGTGCAGAGTGCAGTGAAAACTAGTGACAAAATTATCGCTTTACGTTTAGTCGAATGACGACATGAATTTAGACGTATTGGCAAATTTACTAGTGTCGCAAACTGTTATTTTCGTTCCATCCGCTGACATTTTCTGTCAAGAATCTTGTGATA